AGTGGAAATTTCAGAGGCCAGCTGGGGTGTTGGGCAGGGAAGGGTTTCAGCCTGAGGGATTCGGATTCGAGGTCTGTAGCTCTATAGGGGTCATTAGGGTAACAGGTTACAACGGAAAGGTTCTCAGGAACTACACACAAAAGAGCTGTGGGGAAAGAGTGAGTGATAAGGACACTTTGGGTCGCGCGGGAGCTGTGAGGAGTCTTCAGAAGCAAGGTGAGCTGTTCCCTGGATGTGTTAACATTCTAAGAGTATAGAGGGCTATAGAATAGGTCTTTGAAGCCGGGCGTTGGTGGCGCACGCCTTTAATCCCAGCAGAGCCTACCCCAAGGCAGGCTAGGCTCTTTCCAAGGCAGAAGCAGGCGGGTCTCTGTGAGTTCGAGACCAGCCTGGTCTACAAGAGCTAGTTCCAGGACAGCTTCCAAAGCCACAGAGAAACCCTGCCTCGGAAAACAAAACAAAAACAAAGGAGAGAGAGAGAGAGAGAGAGAGAGAGAGAGAGAGAGAGAGGAGGGAGGGAGGGAGGGAGGGAGGGAGGGAGGGAGGGAGAGAGAGAGAGAGAGAGAGAGAGAGAGAGAGAGAGAGAGAGAGAGAGAGAGAATAGGTCTTTGGGGATACAGACGACACAGTAGGCTCACAGGGGGCTATGATGATACAGTCTTAGAGGACACCCTTGAAACCAGGGGGCATGACAGGATCCAAATGGGGAGTCTGGAGAGTATTAAATGGGGGTGGGGGGCTGCATTTGTGCTGTCAGGTGTTGGCTATTGACACCGTGAAACCAAGGGAGCTCCATGGATCCTTAGTGGCACTGTGTGGTTCAGGACGGCATGTTGGTACGGCCCAGCGTTAAGTCTAAGCGTTTGGGAGTCGGAGATGCCATAGCACTAGAGAGCACTCTGTCAGTGTCGCAGGTGTGTGGCAGGCGTTCAGGACCTGCTCCCTACCGAAGCTCGTCCATCTCGTCCTTGAGCGCTTGGGCCTCCTGGGATAGGCTGCTCAGGGCTTGGTTCCGTTGCTGCAGCTCAGTGACCTCCCGCTCCAGCTCCACGCAGCGCATCCGCTCGTCTTCCCGGCTGCTCTCCAGCCTGGGGTGTCAGGGGAAAGAAGGATGCTGGTGGGCCCCAGCGCCCCGGCCCCGCCCCAGCGCCCCGGCCCCGCCCCAGCGCCCCGGCCCCGCCCCAGCGCCCCGGCCCCGCCCCGGCTGACCACACCTGAAGTTCTCCTCCTGCAGCTGTTCTAGCTGTGACTGCAGGAGCAACAGCTTCTTGGCAGTGAGGCCCGGGGCACTCTCCACTTGCGAGCGGCCCACCCGTTCCCGTAGGGCAGCGTTCTCTTGTGCCAGATTCTGCTTCTCCTCCGAAAGGAGCACGAGCTGTGGGCGGGGAGACAGGTGAGCTGGAGCACAAACCAGGTTTTGTCTGTAGATGTGCACAAGTGGCCCTGTCCCCTCAGCCTCACCCACCTGCCGCTCCAGATCCAGGCACTGTTGCTGAAGTTCATTTCCCTCCGCCTCCTCACTCAGGAAGTAGTATCTTCGGGACTGAGGAGATGAACAAGGGTTGGGAGATGAAGGACTTGGGGATCCAGTCAGAAGAGAGGGAGAAGAGAAGCTGTGATTTCCAGGGGCCCTGGGGAGGGGTCAAGGAACTCCAGGATCTAAGAGTGGGCTGGGGTCCTAGGAGAACGGAAGAATAGTGATTTTTCTAACCCATGAGACGGGCCAGGCCAAGACTGGAGAGACAGGGGAGATGGTTGATAAAGCTTAAAGATAACAACTCCCTGATCAGATGCTCTCCTGTGATCCCGCCGAGGCTGAGCCAGGCGGATCTAAAGTTCACCCTTGCTGCCTTTCCACCTCAACAGACGGAGAACCAGGGGTGGGTGGTGCTGTGACCTTTAGCAAGTTTCTCTATTTTTACCTGTGTATCAAAGTTCCCGTAAGTGTCCGGTGACAGGGAATCAGGAGTCTCTTTTGTCATGAGCTGCAGAAGGGGGCACTGTGATGAGCTGGGCTCTCTGACACAACCTTCAAGGCTTCTACAGATCAGCCTAGAGCCCTTCTCCCCTTCCCCCAGGCTAGTGTAGCTGAGAGCACCTGCCCAGAGGCTGCCTCCAGTGCAGAAAAAGGCCAACACTTCTAAGGCTACAGGGTTCTGACTTATAGTCCACATACACAGATCTTGAATGGCTGACTTCCAGGCAGAGGCCAGACCTTACCAGGCAGGGTGAGGGCTGTGCCTTGTTACCCGTGTCCCCTCCCCTGATACTTGAGGACTGTTACAGGGGATGCCCTCCCCTACCTCCTGGATGGCTTCCATCACTACATGTTGAACAGTCTCCTCCAGCGTCATAATCCTCTGGATATACTCTGGGGGTGAAGGAGGAAGTGAGCGGCTGAGACCAGCGATGGGTCAGAGAGGAAAGAGCATTCTCCGAGAGCGCCGACTGCCTCCCCTCTAGCCCTCCTCATACCCTGTTTTTTCTCACAACTGATAGCACAGCCCAGGACCAACTGAAGCAGTTTGCCGAGCTCTGCAGGGTCTGAGAACTCGCCAATGAGGCTCACATCTGGAAGGTGCTGTTCTGATAAAGGATGTCCCAGAACCTGAGAGCACAGAGAGAAGGAGATGTCAGGGTCACACATGGAACTGTCTCCCAACCCAGCCCGCTAAATCCCTTTGCAGTTACTCACATCCTTCGAGTATTCCATCAAGCTCCGTAAGACCTTCTCCAGTTTCCTGACCTGGTGAGGCCAAGGAGTTATGTGTGCATGGAGGTCTAGAGAAATGCTCCTAAGTCTGTCCTCCTCCCGCCCCCCAATTTTCTCTCCCTGCTTACCCCCTTGTTGCGTGGTCCTGTTCTAAACACCCTTCTCTGGGCTAATCTGCATCGCCTGTACTCAGTGTCTGCCTGAGAAGCCAATGGCTTCTTGCTACCTGGACTACTAATGCCGTCTCTCACTTGGATGCCTGTACCCCCTGCTTCTCATCTCCCACCGTTCTGTGTGGAAGTGGGGTGGGAGTAGGCGTTCTGGTGATCAAACCCAGGGCCTTCCGTGTGGTAGACAAGGGCTTTCCCACTGAGCCACGGTTCCAGCCCCTCACTGCTGGATTCTAGGCAAGCTGTTGCCCACTAAACTGAATTCCCAGCCCTTCATCTATTCTTGCTGTCTACTCTGCATTCCTCCCCAAGCAGCTAGGGGGAGCTTCTAAATGGGCTAAGCCAGGTTGTATCTTTTTTTTGCTAAAACCATGGTGGCCTTTGCCTTTAATCCCAGCACTTGGGAGGCAGAGGCAGGAAGATTTCTTAATTTGGGGCTAACCTGGTCTACAGAGCAAGTTCCAGGACAGCCAGGGCTACACAGAGAAACCCTGTCTCAAGAAGCCAAAGCTAGTGGGGAGTGGGGAGGCTGCTCTGCCTCCTGGCCTGCTAAGCCCTTGGTGGTCTTGGGCTTGATCTATTCCTCTTTCTCTGCCATTCCCTACTCAGCCCCTCCCACTTTAGAGAGTCTACAGTCCCTGTTCCCTGTACACGGAAAAGCATTTCTCCAAGTCTCACGTGGAGATAAGCCCACCTCAAGAAAGCACCTACCCACCTCCTATTACCTGTTTTTTGGAGGTAGGTTTCTCTCTGTGTATCTCTGGCTGTCCTGAAATTCACTCTATAGACCAGGCTAGCCTTGAACTCACAGGGATCCACCTGCCTCTGCCTCCCAAGTGCTGGGATTAAAGGCTTGCGCCACCAACGCCCCACTGGTTTTTGTTGTTGCTGTTAAGATTTATTTTATTTTTTAAATTATTGTGTGTTGAGCTGGGTGGTGGTGGCGCATGCCTTTAATCCCAGCACTTGGGAGGCAGAGGCAGGTGGATCCCTGTGAGTTCGAGACCAGCCTGGTCTACAAGAGCTAGGTTCCAGGACAGCCTCCAAAGCCACAGAGAAACCCTATCTCTGGGAAAAAAAATTACTGTGTGTGTGTGTGTGTGTGTGTGTGTGTGTGTGTGTGTGTGTACTCGCGCACCTGCCTGCAGAGGCCAAAAGTGTGAGATCCCCTGGGGCTGGAGTTACAAGTGGTTCAGAGCTGCCTGATATCTGTGCTGGGAACTAAACTTGAATCCTCTGGAAGAGCAGTATTCACTCTTGACCACTAAGCTATTCCTATAGCCCAGTTTTGTTTTTTGAAACAACATCTCTTGTGGCTCAGAATGGCTTCTGACTTGCTTGTGTAGCCACCAAGATTGACCTTGAGTTCTTGATCCCCTTGCCTCCTACAACCTGGGATCCCAGCATGCCACCTACCTGGCCTGGCTATCACTCCCGCTATCCCCCTGCTACTGGAGAAGGAACTCAGGACCTTGTATATGGTGAGAAAATTCTCTATTGTTGAACTCTATTCCTGTCCCCTCCGCCCCTTAAAGTTTTGAGACAGGATCTTAATAAGTTGCCCAGGCTGATGGAGAATTTGCCATCCTCCTGACTCAGCATACCAAAATAGCTGGGATTATAGGCATTTGCCACCTTACCTCTTGGATGTTAACAACTGTGTGTGTATGTGCTTTTTGCCCACATCACAAGAATGATGGCAAGTTTTTGTCTCATGGTGGGTGCTGATCACCAGACATCTGGCCCTTTTCCTGGCTCGTGTGCCTGTCCATTATGCAGGACATGTGTCTAGCTGTCCCTTTAGGATCACCTCGTAAGTCCATCCTCTAGTTTTTCCCTAGTCATGAGTCCCCGTGTCACCTTCAGCCTCCAGCTGGGACTTGGGTCCTCTGAGATGCCCTGGATCCACGTCTCGTTGAACCAGGAAGGGTCTCTAGGGGAGAAAAGGTGGGATGAGCCGGTGGGGAGCCCTTGGGGATCCTCCCACTGGGCCCCGACTCACATCTGATTCAGCACATGGGCTATGGCCAGTCCGTTGCTCAGGTCCTGGGGGCTGGCACAGGGGAGTGGAACTTGGAACGTCTGCAACTAAAGGGGGCCAGAAGGGGCAACAGGAAAGTTCAAGATCTGGAACACTTCTTTTGCAGACTTTGCCCCAGGCATCAAGACACCGCCCAGAGTTAGAGGACGCTGGCCTGTAGCTTCAGCAGATCAACTCTGCGGGGGCGTGGCTTCTACACACCTGGGCAGGAGGGGGCGTGGCCTTACTTCACCCAGCCAAACCCAGCGAGCCTAAGTCAGGACGTTACCACGGGTCACCTGGTCCCCACAGCTAACATGTGACCAGGCCTGTGCCCCCCCCAGAGGGCGGGGCCTCACCTGTTCTTGCCTCTCAGGCCTGCCCACGTGACAGGAGCAGGTGGCCAGGTCAAAGTCCAACGGCCCAGCAAAGCCTATGACCTATTCCTCCTTCCAGCCCCAAGACAGAGGAGAGCTGCCCAAGGCAGGGCGAGAAGAGAGGGCACACACCTGACCCAGCCCCGCCCCCCAGACCTACCCAGGTGAGCAGAGACCCGCATAGCTCGGCCTTGTCCATACTCATGGCTCCGGATCGAATTCGATCCGGGCCAAGGAGCCCCGGCGCGCAGCAGCAGCCTCCGGGTCCGCCACCAGCGAGCGCCCGAAGCCCAGACCTCCCGCTCGGCCTAGAGCGCCGCCCCGCTCCACCCCGCCCCCTAGGCAAGGCCCCGCCCCAGACACGTGATCTCTTCCAACTGCGAGCCCTCGCCTCTCTCCCCGCCCCCCTCGCCATCTTGGATGCGGCACGTTAGGCGAGCCCAGAATTCTGCCGCTAGGTGTCAGTTTAGCCCAGCCGTGCCGACACGAGAGTGGTGGCCTCGGCTCCTCGTGGCCTCTTTCTGCGGCGGAGTGGTCCTCGTGATGCGTCTACGGCGGAACCACCGCACTGAATTTCACAGGCACATTCGCGTGCTTTCCCCGAGGATGGAAGAAATCTTCCTGTCCAGCCGCGTTACGATCCGAGCCTTTCTTTGTATGGGCGGAGAGATAATTGATAAGAGTCTTCCCCGGAGAAGGGACTCTGGATTGCTTCAAGAAGAAACGGGTGTGGTCGGGAGCAGGAAGGGTCAAGCAGGCACACGCATCCCGAGTGACGGGCATGCGCGCTTGCCCAGCCTCTTCCACTGAGCTCCCAGCTCCCTCCCGGCCGCCGGGGCTTCGAGCATCTCCTAAAACACTAGGCTAGGCCAAAGCTGTGGGTTGTCTGAAACCCACCAGGGGGCGCGCAAACCGCTGGTAAGCCTTCAGGGAAAAGGGTGCGTCCACCGGTTGAGCCCGCTTAGATGATCGCAGAGAGCTCAGAAGAAAGAAATCAATAGCTAACGATAGTCTCAAGACAGTGGAGTGCTTACTATTCGCAGTTTTACATTAAACTACATTCACAGACAATCGAATGTCCTTCGTGACCCTCAGAGTCAAGGGCTACTCTAATTCCCCGTTTTCTGATTTCTTAATTTTGGAAACTTATTTTAAAAAATTTCAAATCCCACGTTTTGCAGATGAGTAAAAACCGGTTACAAACTACACCGACTTTCGTCGGGGTAAAGCCTTAGACGGCGCCCTTTGACCCCTGGGTCCACTGACAGCCCTTCCCCCGCAGGTGGGTGGGGTAATGTGCTGCTGTAATTAGAGGCTATTAGACGTGCCCAGAGGGAGGAGCGGGCCGACTCTGCTTTGGGGCGGGTTCAGGTAGGGTGGAGAGGGGGAGCGATGTTGAGCCCGGATCCCGCGCATCAAGCCTAGCTGGGATCCAGCGACCCTGTCCCAGTAGGGTGAGCGGAGTGACATCAGCCTCCCTCCCTCAGTCTTACAAGAGAATTGTCAGTCTACCACAGACACTCGATTACAACCCACTCAAGCTCTCAGCTGCACACACCAGAGAGCTTGGAAGGTGATTCACACTTCCACAACCCCTTCACGCCTTGTTTTCCAGACTCCAGTCTCTGGGAACCTATGGAGTCTGGAAAACCTATGTGCTTTGGGACTGGACTGACTTCCCCTGGGCATGGGAGTTGCTGCTGGCTCCACCATCCCACATCCACCAGAGAAGTTAATACCCCAAAGTGGAAACAAAGCTAAGCTATCCTACACACGCACACGGGCGCGCGCGCGCGCGCGCGCACACACACACACACACACACACACACACCCATAGCCAGGAACCATGACTATTACAAGAATTTGTGGCTGACATCTGGGACATCTAAAATTTGGGGTGAGGCATTACAGTGATTTTGAAGAAGAAATCTGAGAATCCAGGTACTTGTGTATGAGAGGGTGACTTATTGTTCATTTTTTGGCTTTTCTATTTTTTGTTTGTTTTTCAAGACAGGGTTTCTCTTTGTAACAATCCTAGCTGCCCTGGATCTCACTCTGTAGACCAGGCTGGCCTCGAGCTCAGAGATTTGCCTGCCTCTGCCTCCTGAGTGCTGGGATTAAAGGTGTATACCACCACCATCCAGCTGGGAGGGTGACTTAGTGATGTTATAGGCATCCAAGATGTCAGGAAGTCAAGACTTAAGTAAAGCTAGGGAGGAAGAGGCAGATGGATCTCTGAGTTCGAGGGCAGACTGGTCTACAGAGAGTTCCAGGACAGCCAGGGCTACACACAGAAACCCTGTCTGGAAGAAACAGAAACAAACCTGGGGGGGGAAAAAAAAGAGTTAAATGATGTTTAGGAGCTGAGTGAGATGGTACCTACCTGTAATTCCAGCACTCTGAAGGCAGAGGTAAGTAGATACATAACCAAATAAATGCATGAAGATACTGCACTCTCTGCTGGGGAAGGAGCTATAACCTTCCCCTTGGGTCAGCAGGGAGCTCCAGCTTTTAGGGGAAGAAAAGGAGACTGTGATATGGGCAGTAGGGAAAACTTGCAATCTGTTTTACAAACAAGGAGCCATGCTGTGAATTTAAGTATCTTTAATTCTACACAAAGAGCCACAACCTTTTCTTTGGGACTGACCTCACATTTAGAAGGATGCCAGTGGATCTTAGATGTAGTGAACCTCAAAGTTTGCTAAGATCTGAAGGTCTCCATTTGTAGGAACCAAGAGGCCCCACTTTGCAAGTTTGGATCAGTAACTTCCAGCTGGTTTGGGGATCCTACCTCCTCCTACTTTGTTTCCAAGGACAGCTGGGCTCAGCCTGGGTTGTAATGCTGGGAAGTGAGTGACTCAACCCCTCTCTAAGGCCACAGCTGGACCCCAGCCCATCTCCTTCAGCCTGCACATCTGGAATTTGATCCCATCATCACAGCTGGGATGGAGACCCTGAGTTCCACAACAGAGGACACCACTCCCTCCCCCTCTCCATTGAGTATGTAAAACCCTCTGTGTGAATTCCTTGTACCATTACCATGGAAACACTGACAGTCTTCCTGCACCCAGTTACTCTGGTTCTTTCTGCAGCAGCTCCTATCCTGCTCCCACCCCACCACTTTGTGTTCCTAAGTCAAGGGAAATATGCTTATATCTGTGTAGGGGTGAGGTAGTGGGTTTATGATTGGGATAGCCTCCACTTGTGTCTTGGGATCCTTGAGTTAGTACAACTGAGTGTGTGTGTGTGTGTGTGATTTGATGGCTGTCAGGAAGTTCAGGGCATCAATCTGTGTATAATACGCCAGCTTAGGGGCTGGAGAGGTGGCTCAGAGTATGATAACAGCACTTGTGCCTGCTGGAGAACCAAGTTTGGTTCATGTGGTTCATAACCAGCCATAACTTCAGTACCAGGAGATTTGACATATTAGGCCAACACTCATAATAATTTTAAAAAGAGTCTAAAAAGAAGCTTGAAAAAAACTAGGAGTAGTGGTACACACCTGTAAAATCTACACCTGGAAAGGGCAGACAAAAGGATCAGGAATTCAAGGCAAGTTGTAGGTGAGGCTAGACATCCTAAAACACTGTCTCAAACACAGTAAGCACAGGTCAGTTTGGAGGAACCTTTAATCCCAGCACTCAGAAGGAAGCAAGTGGGTCTTTGTGAGTTCAAGCTCAGCTTGGTCTACATAGTAAGACCCCGTCTCAGAAACAACAAACCAAAACTATGGTTGCCCAGCCTTGCTGGCACACATCTTTAATCCCCAGCACAAGGAAGGCAAGGGCAGGTGGATCTCTGAGTTCAAGGCTAAACTGACCTGCTTAACAAGTTTCAGGGCCAGAGTGAGACCCTGTCTCAAAACAAACAAAAATTCTGGCTTAGGGGTGCCAGGGAGTTCCATCCATACCCCCCTTGTGTTTCTTGTATAGTTCCAACAGAGTCTAGAAGACTGTTCTGTTCTGATTCTGGCTTCTTTTTTTTGTTTTTTTGTTTTTTTTGTTTTTTTTTTTTGAGACAGGGTTTCTCTGTGGCTTTGGAGGCTGTCCTGGAACTCGCTTGGTAGTCCAGGCTGGTCTCGAACTCACAGAGATCCGCCTGCCTCTGCCTCCCGAGTGCTGGGATTAAAGGCGTGCGCCACCAACGCCCGGCTCTGATTCTGGCTTCTTGTGTCTGCTGACCACAGCATCTGAGAATGACCCTCCTTTGGGGTCAGTGTCTGTGCTATTCTTTGTGTGAGAATGTGTGACAGCTGGTGCCTCAGGTTGACATTAGGATCTACGTCTGTAACCATACCCTACTGCTCGTTCTCCAATTTAGGGGAATCCATGTTTCTGATATTAGACACTCTACTTTTTTCCAGCTTTTGTTTTTCTGTGATAATGAGCCCTTATGCATGAGTCCTGGCATATCATGCCCCTTTATTTATTTATTTATTTGGTTTTTCGAGACAGGGTTTCTCTTTAAACAATCAAAGTATCAATGATGACATGGCTGTCTCAGCCATAATTTCCATGTGAGAGGTACTTGTGGAACAATCCAAACCCCAGGTAACAGAGGCTGTTATACATTACCTCAATGGGATAGCATATATAAACTTTTGTGTGTGCATAAGGTTGTGTTTATGTATCTGTCACATTCCTTTATATGGCACATGTGCTGAGAAACTGCTTCTAGGTCTAAGTCCCTGTGAGACTGTGTGACTCTGTCAGTGCTCGCAGGGCTGCCTAAACAGGGTTCCTGCTAGAGTGTGTCAGGTGTATTCTGTGCACGTGTGACACTGTGGGTCAGGGTTGTTTGTGTCCTTGTGTGTAGATGAGGGTGTCAAAGTCACACAGACAGCCAACTCGGTGGAGGCAGGACATGCGCACCACTGTCGCTATCCTCAACTCTCCCTCTGGGAGGACTCCACCCCGCACTGCGGGGGCGCGTGCGTCGTTCGTGACGTGAGACACGACGGAGTTCGCTGCGTGCGTGGAGCCCGACGCGGTCGTGCGTGCGAGTACAAGCCGGGGGGTGGGGTGTCTGTACGCATGCTTGAGAGCGCGGGGGCAGCCGCGGGAGCGCGCGGGGCCCAGTGCTGCGGAACCAGAGACTTTGGAGCGCAGGTGAAACTCCGAGGTGGGGGAGAGACTGCCGTTAACCCCTTCCTGCCCGACCTGAAACTCGGGGCCCCAGGGCCGAACGAACGGGGGCTTCCCCAGCTTGCTGGGCGGGGCAGTCCCTGCTGGGTAGACCTTCCTCCAGAGAGCTGAGACACCCCCCCGTTGCCATGGAAACAGCTTCCTGGATCACTCGCGCGCTTGCTTCCTCCGGCTCTGCCCTTCCTCCCTACGACCACGTGCTTGCTTCCCGCTCCTGATCTCTGCACCGCAGGGCTGGGGGTCAGTAGGGCCAGGGTGTGCGTGACTCAAGCCAGCCCTGGGGTCCCCAGACCGCACTCGGCCTCACTCCCCTTGCTCTGCCTGGGTGACTCATGCCTCGCGGCTTTCCCTGTGTGTGACTCAGGCCCCTGGGGAGGGGACTTTGGGACCCCCCCAAGGCATCCAGGACTAGGAATCAAGTTCTGAAGACCTCGAGTGAGGGGTTACCCTTTGGGAGACAGGAGGCCAGGTGGGCGTCCCTTTTCACTGGCCATTTCGAAAGTCATTGGGGGCACTTTCCCCATCCCTAAATTAACAGAGCCTCCCCGGCCTGGCTCCGGGAACTCAGTGCCCCCGCCCACCAGCCCACAGGAAGTTTTGGCAGAGCCTATCGTGGCAATGAAACGGTTAAAGTCGTTTTCTTATTCATTTCATGCAGGGGCTTTTTTGACTCAGAGCAAGCGGGTACCCCCTTGAAAACTTGGCCTCGCAGGGACTGGGACTCCTACTGCACCCACAGGGGGCTGCGTAGCTGGCTGTGGGTCCCGTGAGCAGCAACTGCGAACAAAGCTCGGCTCAGCTCAAATCCTGTCTCTGTCCTCACTTGTTTTTCCACCTGAAAATTATGTCCAGCTCGTTGAGGTGTTGTGTTGATTAGCTGAATAATAGATGGGACGCTCCGAACTCAGGGCTGGACACGGAGGCAGGGAGGTGTTTCAGACCTGGGTGTCCAGCTGCCCAGTAGAAAACACCTACTCCATGCCCCACCCACGCTCTCTAAGGCCATGGGGTTCATTCTGTCCACCCCAGCCCTGGGCTGGCACCCAGGAAGTGAGAGGCGGGGCAGGAATGAGGCAGAACCTGTTGGGCTAGTCCCTTCCCCGCCCCCCACCCTCATTCTCATGCCCTGACAAGGACCCCCCCTACACGATAACGCCCCACCCCCGCCACCCTGGACGCCTGGGTCCTGACCTGCGGGTGGCCGGAAACAACGTCTAGGGAACATCCTGTGGACGACTAGCTGGACAGACAAGAGGGTCAGCCCCTCCCAGGGCAGGGCAGACATAGGCTGGGGGCAAAATAAACATGGCCCTGAGTGGCCAGACTGCGGGGGGAGGGGTGAAGTGGGGGCGCTCTGCAAGAATGTCCACAAATACTCGGTCACCCTGAGAGAGCAAGTCCAGAGAGCAAACCTTCATGACCCAGACCACCAAGGCATCTACGTAGTCAGGGACACACAGGCAGGGAAAGCAGACATCTGTCTGGTTAAGACACCCAGCAGTGGCCAATACAGTGACAGTCAAGTCAAAAACAAGCGCTCTGGAGATACTCTGTGTAGAGGAGAGAGAGCACACAGAGCAGCCACAGATCAGTAGGAGACAGGCTGGGGATGTATCTCAGTGGTCTAGTAAGCACCAGGAGGCAGTGGATTCAATCTCCAGAATTCAAACGAAGCTCAAACCTAGGTGTGACCCAGATAAAGCAGCTTTGCTCACAGGCTGGATATCAGTACACAGAAGTGCACATTGTGGTTTGACAGTCTCAGACAGGACAGAAGCAAACTGAGAGACTCGAGGCCACATGCACAAGCAACATTATTACTGTACAGAAGCAGGAGAGACAAACATCTATAGGCAGATGTACAGAGGAATCAGTCACCTACACACCATGTCAGAGTGCCCCAGGCACCTACCAATGTAACTGCGGCACATACATTTGAAGATGGAGACTTATACACAGTCACCTTGAGGGTTTGTTTTTTAATTTTTTGAGACAGGTTCTCACTGTGTAGCCCTTGTTAGCCCAGACTTCAATTTGTAGACCCAGCTGGTCTCGAACTCACAGAGATCCACCTACCTCAGACTTCTGAGAGCTGGGATTAAAGGCCTGTGCCACCATGCCCACCTCTTAATGGACCTAACCAAGATGAACAGGAGGATGCAGATAGATACATTCCCAACTACAGTCTGGATAAACAATAATACCTAATGCAGAGAGGCAGAAACAGTCCACAGCCCGGCATTCATGAAGACATGAATGGAGACACCCTGACAGAAGCTGTGACTAATGACACGAGTACACTACTCATGAACCACACAGGGCTCATGCTCTCTCATGTACACATACAGCCAGCCATACCACATAACACACGCACGCATGAGCGCGCGCGCACACACACGCAACACACAAGCACGTGCGCGCACACACACAAGGCAAACAGACGATCTAGTCTTCTCTCTCTCATAGGCACACATAGACCACAAAAAAGACATAAAATATACCCTCTCTACCCCCCTGCCCCTGTCTATGTTTGGAATATATGGATAGCCATGGCTGGTCTATACGTGTGTGGGAGGCAAGCAGGTACACATAAACACAGAGACTAGCCATATACCACACACAAACATCCAGACATCTCATATATGTAAGGCAAATATGTATGTTGCACACACAAATCAGATACAAATTATGTTAGCTCTATGTATGCCCAGAATTGAGCCATATATGGCCCATGCAGTAGAACACACACACACACACACACAAATACCACCTCACTCCATCCACACAAAGCAGAAATGAAGTCTCACACATAGGCCCACACCCCCTGCAGGTTTGGAACAACATGTAGACAGATGTCCTGAGCAGGCCTCATGCACTCACACAGGCCCTAACAGGCCAGCCACCCTTGCGTGCGCGCACGCACGAGCACACACACACACACCGCCACACTCGCACACACACACACACACCCTTTGCTGAGGTTCTGTGGGGCCAGAGATGCTGGTACTTCCTCTCCCAACATCACCCCACTTCCCTGCTGTTCTCCCACTTCCCCTGCTGGGCAGATCAGTTGTTTTCTAAGGCTGTTTCTCTTAAAGGGGACACCTTGGAGCTCAGGCCCCCAAGTCTTGGGCAGCCGTGTGGGAAACTCCCCGTGGGCCCAGTTGAATCAATGTGAGGATACAGCCTGTTTCCAAGAAAACGAAGCAACTTCCTCTCCAGATCAGGGGCAATGGACCCCTAAAACCACAGAATAGGGGAGGGAGGTGGCTGACAGGCCGGGGCTTCCAAGATGAAGACCTCTGGGATGGATTCTTACTTTCTTCTGGCCCAGCCACCAGTCCACACCCAGGGGCAGGGACAGGAGACGGGGTGCTGTAACTTGTGGGTTCCCGCCCCAGCCTGCCCACTGGCTGACTCACAGGTAGCCCCCAGCCCAGTTTCCTGGTGGCAGCCCTGGAACCAGTCAGTGAGGGCAGGGAGGAGAATGGTCACCAAACTATTTATAAGAAGGAGAAGTCCCTGGTGCCAGGGCCAAAAGCCCCAGAGAGACTGTGGGTGGGTGGGTGGGGGTGAACTTCCTCCTTATCCTGAGTGGTAGCCCCTGGGCCCAGGCCCAGGGGTATGCAGAAGCCTGACAAGGAAGGGCCAGCCTGGTGTGATCTGCAGCCCAGGCGGCGCGGGGGAGGGGGCTATCTCCACACCCTCCACACTGGGCAGGCCTGGCGCCAGCAGGGCGACTTGAGGAGGTGGTGCCCAGGCCACAAGAGTGGGAATGGAAGGGGCCTGGAACCGGCTGTACCAGCTTGGCCGGCCCTGCCCTCCCGGGTTGGCCTCTTCCCCACCCCCTGCTCAAACACCAGCAAGTGCGAAGGAAGACCCCAGGCTGCGTTGTTGCCACTGTCACCTTTCTGTGCCCGGCTCTGCTTCTCCCAGAGAGGGAAAAAAGACAGGTCCTCTGCAAAAAGCCCGAGAGAGCTCTGTGTGCCCATCTCCAGCACAGGAGGCTCGGGGAGCCAGCCCTCATTCCATACACACCAAACCCATTCTAGGCCTCCTAGCTCTGAGACATTACTAAAGGCCCTTCATTCCCCGTGCCTCAGTTTCTCATATGTTAAATGGAAATTCACACAGCATGCAATTGCCTGGGTCACTGGAAGTAGCCAATGACCAACTTTATGTAAGCCACTTCAGAACATTGTCTGGTCCAGGGTAAGAACCATCTAAGTGTTAGCTATTAAAATAATAATTACTATTTCTCAGACAGTCTGTCTGCCTGTCTTAAGTGTCTCCCAGTCTCCGTGTCTGCAGAAGACTAACCTGGCCACATCTGTGTCTCTGGGTGTCTCCCCTCGGCCTGCCTCCTTGCCCCCAGCCACCCACTCTTGTCTTCTTCAGACCCTCTTCGGGCAGACCTGGCCTCTCTCCAAGACTTCCCTTTGGCCTAGCCAGCTTCAGCTGTGGCGTGGGTGAGTCAGTGTGGCCTTCTGGCCAGTGGGACAGGCAGGTTGGCTTCCCCACATGTTGCCCTCGGTCCTGCCCTGCCCCCAAACGCTGCGGCCAGCACCCCTCGGGCCAGGCCACATGTCAGCTGCAGTTATTAGCATGGGCAGGAGACACAGGCCTGGCAGCATGCCCGCAGACTCAGCGGCTTCTGGAATCTCCCTTGAGACTGTGGTGGGGGAGGGGAGCTGTTAACGCAAGGGCAAGATGGGAGGGAGCACCGAGGGGTCACAAGGGTCCTCCAAAGCCTGGGATGTCCCCAGCTCCCTCCTCTCCAGCGCCCCTACTCTGCTGGGCTTCCCCTCCCCCTCTCTGATGTCTCTCTTTTGCCTCTTTCGATTTCCTTCTCTGTCCTACTCTAGGTGAGTCTCCTACGTGGGCCCTGTCAGTCCGTCAGCTTCTCTCTAAAGAAGCCTCCAGTCTGAGACCTGAGCCTGGGAAAGAGGAAGAGATGAGACTCTCACCCATACTACTTGGAAGTTCCACCTGTCTAACTGGAAACCTCGCTGTTTAGACCTCCTCCTTGCCCTTCCTGGAGCAGGGGCTATGAGTTCTTCCATTTTCTCCCTTTGAGATTTTCGCCTTCCGACTCGGGTGGAAAGAAGGTTCTCGGATGAGGGAAACGTCTTAGGAAGCGGGGCGACCTCCTTTTAGGTACTGTGTATTTGGGTACCTCACTCACCCCCAGCTGGAATGGAAGTAGGCACGAGGAGTATCCAGACTTCAAAGATGGGGTGGGGAACGGGGACCCTAGACCTTCTGGCAGAAGGGAAGGGCACATACCCAGGGGAGGAGGCAGCCCTGTACCAGCCTGCCCAGGCGCCGGGGATGCCTAAAGGCATCATCCCGCCCCCTCCGCGCCCTGACGGGCCGGGGGGCAAAGTCCGACCCAGGCCCGCGGGCAGGCGGGAACCTGCCAGCCTGGGTCCGACCCAGCCGGGCGGGACAGGACTCAGCCCCAAAGCTGTTCCGTGGGGCTGGGCTAGGCCGCCGGGGGCCCCCCCGGGGGTGGCAGTCGAGGCTGGTCCGGACTAGCCGTCTGGGGGCCTGGGCGCGCCCTGGGACCTGGCTGCTACCCTGGGTTCCTGGCTCCTAGTTCTCCGCCCAAGATTGTACTAGTCCCACCTCTTCCTGTGCCCTAATATGGATGCTGGGGAGAAATTCAGGGGGGTTGCCCCGCCCCCAATTCGATTCGCGGACTCCGGCCTGTTGCCTTGGTGATGAGGCCCCGTTCTCAAGCTGCATCCCCCCCCTCCAGAGGGTCAATGGAACAGTCCTCGGGCTGCCAGGCTTAGTAATCACTGGAGGCTGCAGGCTGAACCATTCCTAGATGGGTGAGAGCAGACAGTGACTCGAG